AATTTAATAATCTCCAATCAAACTCGTGCCAGGGTTATACATTTTTATAAATCACTCAAAAATGATTTCCAATGGCAATATTGGGCTTCATTCAAGGCCTAGAATATACACAAATTTTGGGCGAAAAATGTCTGAAAAATGTGCCTTAAAAATACATATTTTCGGAGTTTCATCTGACTTTAATTAAGTCCAATCAGCTGCAGTGTAAATTGATGAGAGTAAAACTTAAAATTCAGTAATCGCTTCGTTGCTGTCTGCTCGGCAATCAATTAATATTTCTTTAAGCAAATTTACAGGCAAAGAATTTTTAATATTTCCGTTGAATATGCAATGACAGCGGCAAAAAAATTGAAAGAAGAGAGAGAGAGAGAAAAAGCGAGTGAGAGCGAGAAAGAGATGTTTCGCCGGCACACTTCGCTGGTCGTTAATCAATTAAAACATTTGCAAAATTTGCATAAACATTTTCGCCGGCGCTGCTGCCATAATTTTTGCACTTGGCAGCTTCACTTTGTTTACATGGTGAATTCTGTCGTCCCTCGGAACCCCGCCTCCTCCTCCTGCTTCTCCTGCTCGTATCGGTCCCTGTCCCTTCCTGCAGCCAATTTGCAAATGCGGCAAACAAAAATTGATTAAAACATCACGTAATCGCAATCGCAGTCATCGTCATCGGACTTGGGGCTGGCTGTGGCTCTCGGAGGCACTTGGCCACAGCTCGAGCTCGATGTTCGGGCGGCGCCAGCCCTGACATGGCATGGACATGACGGGCGATCTCTCCATGGCACAGTGCACGTACGCATGTGGTTACCCGGACCCAGGCTGGCACTCTCTCTCTCTCCCTCTCTCTCTATCTCTCTCCATATATGTGTCTCTCTGTGTCGTTCTCTGGCCTATGCCTTATGAATATGAATTCAAATCATTTCAATTGAATTTCTGCGAATTCGTAGTTGATTCAGCGAGGAGCGAGCAGCGGCGGGCCAGTGCAGTGAATTCAAATCGAGCCAATTATTGGCTCATACTACTTACATACAAATATGGGAATCGAGTCTATTAAGAACCGCAAACATTAATGACAAATTGCGCATCGATGATGTGGATATGTGGACCAGCCACAGTGACTCACAAACCAGAGTAGCAGAACCTGACATCTTATCAACATGGCCATAAATAAGGGAAAGGGACACATCCACAACAGTTCCCAAAAATCTGGCAATTCCGTGGTGCCCTGCCCAGCCCTGCCTGTCGCAACCTGGTCGAACACCGCAGACAGGGACACCGTAATTCTTTGTTGCAGTCTTCATAAATTTCATTTTTACATGCGGCCCCATGTCAGTGCCCTTGGCTGGGCAACAGTCCCCTCCCCACTGGTCTGGCCAAATATGCTTAATGACTTGTTTGTGTGCTGGATTAAATATAAATTATATTTCTGCCATCCATGCGAGAAGTGAATCGTCCCTGGAGAGAGGACAGAGGACAGAGGAACGGAACCCGTTTGCTCTGCGGAATGATTAAAATTTCATTCCGAAGAAATTTTTTTTGGTTTGTCGCTGCAATTGCCGATGAGAAACTCTCTGGTGAGTTATGGCGAAAGAGTGGAAGATTTAAGACTCCATCCATCATGGGAAATGGAAGCTATTTGCACACACCCACACACGGGCCCCTCCACCCACGTACCGATAGATTTCCATGGGCCAGCGTATGAGTGTATCTGGGTCAGAGTGCCCCTGATTGATAATAAATATGAGAATGTACGTTCCCCATACGTATAGCATGTAAAAATGGAATCGAGTCAAATGTACTTGAGTATTTTAATTAGTCTTCTCTTTCTGCTCCCGCCCCTCCACAAGAGGGCAATATAATTGCCTCCAATCGGTGACTTTGGATTGGATTTGATTGCTCAAGTAAATAAACCAGCAGTCGAGCAGCAGCAGCAGCAGCAGCAGCCTCTCAGCGCAGAGTTCTGTGTGTCATTTGGTTCAATCAATCAAGGGATTTGGGTTAGCATAAGCATTGCTGGGCCCAGAAATATTCCGCAGATAAATCAAGTGGGAAAGGTTGCACATAAAATATAGGAAGAAGAAAAAAAAGAACAGAATTAATTCGCAATGAAAATGTGCGAAAAGATGCAAAGTGCTGGGATTTGTAATACAAAATTGACCAAAGCATAAGTTTAACGGTGCGACTACGAAATATGTGGGCAAATAAATAAAACACACACAAAACCGAAAAAAATAGAAGAAGAAGCAGAATGAAACATGTGGTAGCATGTGGGTTACGGTAGGCGGTGGAGCTCCTCCTCCATGTGATATAAATGTGATGTTGTTTGTCCTGGGCCATGCCTCAGACGATGACAGGAAACTGTATGAAATTGCTTCAGGCCACCGGCCCACCCCACCCACGGGTTGAACTTGAGAGAGCGGCTGCCCTGCCATCCGATCAATATTTCATGTAAAAGTTTTTCAAAAAATAAAAATCTCTCTCCAGAGCATGTTTATGAAAATGCAACCCGGAAATCGAATGTCTGTCAGGGGCAAGAACATTTCTATGAACTCTGCTTTCGGTGGGAAAATCGGGAGAGTGTGGGTTGTGAAATAGCGTTGGATAGTGGCCTGCTCAGTCCTCTGCAAATTATGCAAATAAGTCAGCAGACGTGCAGGAAGACTCCTCCTAGTGGACCCCCAAAATGAATCATATGCCAAAAGGCATTTGAAGGCCTCCGGCTTTTGTAATGGGTCCTTTGGGTCCACCTACTGTACCTCCTGCCTGTCTGCCTCGACATGGCAACATGGCGTATGCGTAACACAGCATTAGACACTCGAAAATGCATGGGGCTATGGCCATGGCCATGGCTGAGGAGAAAGTTTTCTGCTCGTGTCTGAGGGCTGTCAATTTCAGTTGCCGTCTCCGACTGTGTCCGGACTTGGATCTCTGTGACTTGGCAGATGATTTTCCCCAGATTTTCCCAAGTAGAAACATTTGTCTCGTCTGCAGGGCGGTGACGGGGACGGGGTCGGGGACGTGGTGGTGCGTGGACTGTGATCAAAGCAGCATCTTACCCTTACCTTGCTCGTATCGCAAATGAGATATACAACTTTGGGGACACTCACCTGCAAGGAGATAGATACAAAAAAAAGATGTTAGAATCGTCGTGGGCCACACATGCGATAACTTAATCTAGCCCCGTCCCGCCCAACTCTGACTAATCCCTGACCACAGGCGGACTTACGTCGGGTTTAATTAACGATGTAGGCGGGGACCGGACTAAACTTGGCCGGAACACAACTTGGGCGCATAAATAAAGGCCTGAGCTCGGACTTAAGAATGCTAATGATGTCCTCGAGCCATCGAGAAAGCTACCTACCTCCCTCCCTCCCTGCTCCATGTTCCGTTTCAGCTTTCAGCGCCTGGCTAATAATGCTTTGCATATAATCAAGCAGCCCATGCCCATGCATGACCCTTCTCCATCTCCGTCTCAGTCTCAGTGCTAATCCAACAACTTGACTGCCATTACCCCTGGAATCGGAGCAGACGGAGACATAGATCCATAGCGATGTATGGAGAAAGGGGAGTGAGGAAAAAAGCGTTCATTTGCTCAATCGTGCACTCGAAAATGTCAATTTACATTTGCGGACTGGCAGCCAACGCACTTCTTCCCTGGTGCCGCCACCCTAATGGGGAAAACTGAGACCCACACCATACGCAGTCCCAGTCTCAGGTCCCAAGTCCCAGGTCCCAGCTCCAGCTTAAGTTGACTTTAACGCCTCAATGCATCCAACTAGAAGCGTCCGATGGATGAGCAGGAGAAAGTCCCTTTTTTTTCTTTTCTTTTTTTTTTGTGGGCAGCATCAGGAAAAAGTAAAACTTTTTATTAAAGTCAGCAAAAATTGTTGAAACTCGTTTGGGTTTCGGATTTCCATTCTCCAACACTAGAGTTAGCCCTGATCCCTCTGCTCTGATTCTCGTCCCTGGCCCTGCTCTCCATTTCTCTCTCTCTCTCTGTGTGTGTGTGTGTTTGACAATGTGGGCGTGGCACTTGGACTCTCTCTAGTCTGTTGCTTTGGTCAAGTTAATTTGTATGTGTGGCCGTAAACTTTTGCCAGCTTAGACTTTCCAACACGCCCCATTGGCCAGTGGGTAGTTGGGGGCGGAGATGGACAGATGGATTGCCTGAATGAATGAATGAGTGAATGGTTGGGAAGCAGCAGGAGCTGGTGCTTTCCCCTCTTCATATCTCAAATGTCCAGTTCTGGATGCCGTTCACAATGTGTGAATTTTGTTGGCTTATTGCTTTTCTATGCCGCATAATTGCTGACTTCTTTCACACATTCACACACATCATTGCACTGGTCAGAGGATTTGGAAGTTTGGGGTCTACAACAGGGCTATGTGTGTGTGTGTGTGTAAGGATGTGCTTGGCGACGTTTTGTCCTTGAGCAGGGCGCATAAATCATAGAGCTGCTGCAGAGCCAACCGAAATTTATGCTTGGCTGCATTTTTGCTGCCCCACCCACGCCGGGGCACGAGAGGCTTGGCCCAGTGGGCAGCTGAGATAACACAGTGGAGGCAGCGGGTCCGGTGGGGTGCGGTGCGGTTCGTTTTCGGTGGGAAGCAAATCAAGAGTAACAACTGGACGGAAATCGTATTTCAAATTCAAAGATGTCGGATGTGTTTATCTGCCTCTTCCCTTGCCCCCTACCCCTTGGTCCGTTTCCTCGTTCCTCGCGTTACCCCAACGGTATTTTCGCACCTTTCAGCGCTGAGCCACTGGGAGTTGCCATCGCTACGCGCGATGCGCTGCCAGGGTGACCATCGCTTGTTATGCAAACAAATTCGCTGCCTGCCCCAATGGAGAGTTGCCACAACAACCCGTGCCACACACGCGGGTGGGTTCCTCTGCAGCTCCAGGCCTCATTCTTGTACACCCAGCTCCCTGGGCGCGTTGCAAACATTTTTACACAGTTTTTTTTTGTTGGCCTAATCATTGACCAGCGATTGGGCCGAGGATGCCTTGCTTCTCCGCCTCCAATGTGCGTTTTGTCAGCGCCGAGTCGCAGCTGAGGGAGAAATGTGAGGAGCTGCGTGCGCGGGCCAGGGCGCAGACGGCCGCCTATCGTCCGCCGGCGGGCGGATTTCGACCCACCACCCAGATGGGGGGTGGTGCAACCTTCCGGCGGCCCTTCGATCAGACGGTGGCCTACGACCAAAAGCAGCTGAAGCGAAATGAGCGCGACAGGAAGCGCAACCAGGGATCCAAACACATCGTGCTGCGACCCAACGATCTGAGGCGACTGAAGGAGCAGGGCAGGGTGGTGACCGTGCAGGAGAAGCTGCTGGAGATCGACCAGCAGGAGGAGGATCACCGCCAGCAGCTGCAGCTGGTTGAGGAGACGAGAAAGCGCTACAAGGCCATCGATAAGGCGCGCCAGGCAATGGCTGGGGAGGACAAGATCAGCGGCGTGGAGAGCGAGATACTAGAGGAGCGGGGCTCGGTGCTGAGTCGCGCCTTTCTGGCCAAGCAGGAGCAGGAGGAGGAGGTGAAGCAGATCAACCGCATGATCCTCGATGCCAAGTGCAAGGCGGTGCGGGAGGCCCAGATCCAGGAGAAGTATCTGCTGGCCAAGGCGCTGCGCGAGGACGACGAGCGTCTGGCCCGCATGGTCAACGAGGAGGCGCGCAAGGCGCTCAGCGCCGAAGACGAACGGGAGCGGCTGGAGATCGAGAAGCGGGCCAAGTACGCCCAGGAGATCCGCCAGCAGCTGAGCGAGCGCGAGAATCGCCGCTACCTGGAGGCCAAGCGGGTGGCCGAGGAGGCCAAGGACATCCGCAAGGCGACGGAACTGTTGCGCGAGGAGGAGGAGCGCCAGCGCAACTTTGTGCACGTGCGCAAGCAGCGCTTTCGCGAGGAGCTGCAACGGATCCGCGACATGTCCAATGTGTTCAAGACCCTGCTGACGGAGCAGGAGCGCCTGGCCGAGCTGCGGGTGATGGCCTACATGCGCGAGAAGCAGGAGAAGGAGCGCCAGCTGAAGGAGCTGAAGCGGCTGGCCAAGAAGGATTTCGAGCGCCGACAGCAGCGCATCTTCACGGTGGCCGCCGAGGCCATGGAGACGCGCCACACCAACGAGGAGCTAAAGTATTTGAAGGAGCGCGACCGTGTGGAGCGTGAGTACCGGCAGCGGGAGAAGGACGCGGCCATGGCCAAGCGGGAGAAGGAGCGCGACCTGCTCGAGTCGCGCGCTCAGCAGGCGCAGAAGATGAAGCACCGCCTGGCGCTGGAGATCGCCCACGCCGAGGAGGAGTTCAACAAGGTGATGGAGCGCATGCGCGACGAGGAGGACAAACAGAAGGCGCTCGATCGTCAGCGCGACTCGCAGCGTCTGGTCTACCGCAAGGATCTCAGGCAGCAGATGACCGACAAGGCGGAGGAGCGCCGTCGCCTGGCCAAAATCGAGGCGGATCGCGTCCAAAAATGGCTGCAGCAGGAGCAGCAGCGCGACGCCAACATAAAGCAGGTGATCAGCTGCAAGATTGCGGCCATGCGGGAGAACTGCCTGCCCGAGAAGTACTTGAAGGAGGTGGAGAAGCAGCTGAAGAACATCCAAGGCTCGCGCAATCGAATACGCTGAGGCGGGCTGCGAGGTTGCATAGCTTCGGGCGCTGGCTGTGAGCGGTAGTGGGCTTCCAACCGGGTGCCCGAGAGTATGCTGGAACGTAGGTTAAGCTGGTCACACTACTCCCCACTACAGTAGGCACCTGCCAGTGGGAAATTCCCAGTGAATTTGAATAATAAACGAATTGGGGCATACTTCAAGCTGATATCTATTATTTTTGGTGCTCTTAGCGCGGCGAGATCTCCAAAAAGTCCCAAAAAGGTTCCAATAAAATTTAATCCACAGCCCGAAAGTATGCCATAAAACTGCAAACGCCACAAAAGTAACTGCCGAAGCGAAATCAAGGCCTCCCCATCCCCTTTGTTGGTGATGATGCGACATTGTTGCGCGTGCGGCAGAATCCAGGGGAGTCTCTGTGCCCCCCACACACATCACGCTAATTTCTAACTATGTGGGCGTTTAGCCTCCTTTCTTCGCTGTCCCAGAGTACCCCCACCCTGCTCCAAGGGGGGGGACTAGCACAAACAATTACACGAGACGAAAAACTACGGCCTCAGCTCGGTGCCACACGACGAATGCCATGGAGGAAAAAGTGGTAGCCAACTTTTGGCTACAATAAAATTTTATTATGCCACACACATACGCAGCAGCCAGCAGCAGCCAGCAGCAGCAGCAGCCAGCAGTGGGGCACCCAGAGGCAGCTACGCACACCCACACACACACACACACACATGTGCAAACAATGGGGCAGACGAAGATGGAGCTGCCGCTGAAGATGCCACCGACAACGGCAACGACGAACTCTTGTGCATGGTTCAATTATCGTATTTCATGATTCGTTAAATTTTCGCATACGCCAAAAAAGCAAAAAAATACTCCTCTCCATGCCACCCACCCACCAAAGAAAAGCCATACCAAAGAACAGGTTTTCCCCTGGCAACCATTGTGAAGACAGACCCAAGTCGAGGAGATTCGGAGATTGGGAGGCCTGCCTTCGGGTCTGACTCTGAGTCTGAGTCTGGGCATGGGTCTGGGTCTGGGTCTGAGCTTGGGGATTGCCTGCCACTCGCATATGGCAGTAATAATTCCAGTGACAATAAACGTTGTCGTATTTACAAGTACCCGCACACACACAGAGGCACACACACACACACACACTTACGCACACACTGACATGAATTGATGAGAAAAGTTTTTGAGGAAATGTCAATAGAGAAGCGGAGACAAACTATGCTCCGATGTGCGAGGCAGTCTGACAAGCACAGTGGCACGAAAGTGATGCTTATGGAGTGGAAAAAGGCACTCTCTACACTGTACTACACTGTACTGCTAGCAATGCCAATACTCTCCGGAACCTACTGTACTCCAAACAATGTCAAGCAGTCTGCAAGGCTGAGCCATCCATCTATGCTGTGCCAACAGAGAGAGAGAGAAAGAGAGAGACAATTCCTACCCCTACGTACTCCACTGTACCACAGCATGGCATCTTTGGCATTTATAAATATCGTGCGAGTACGAGCACCAGAGTATGCCTGAAAGGAAAAGGTAAAAAGCCAAAAAAATATCGATATTGTAATTGGAAAAATATAAGATGCAGCTGCTGCATTCATACCCATTCCCCATGCCCATTTGCCATTCGATATCAGCCCAACTAACCCACCGAAATGTATTCGCAAGATTGCACACAATTGTTTTGTATTAGCAAAGTGATTTGGATCCGCCTCGGTATCGGTATGGCTTGCCTTTGGCTTGGTTTCCTTGGATTTTATTCAGTTGGTTTCGGTTTGGTTGTACCTTCGATATGTGTGCTTAAAAATAAATTGCTTGGCTTTAGTTTTGCGTTTTATTTCTATGGCTTTTCTTTTGTAGTAGTTTGCGGTGTGCCATTGGTATCTGCTGCTTCTGCTGCTTCAGCCGCAGAGCAGAATTTTCCGCCTTTTTCCTTTGTTGTAGGTAGTTCAAAGCGGCCCAAGACAGATAGCTGAGCGGTTTCTCTGTGCGAGTATCTGCAGCTAAGTACATCCAATCCGATATCTAGGTGACTGTGTAATGGGTCTCAATTGCGCCCCAAATTTAAGACATCAATCGAGGAGCTCCGCATTTGCATATCAATATGTGGGTGAGTGTGAGAGGGGGAAATCAATATAAACGAGGAAGCCGCTTGATTGGACGGCCGCTGACGGGTAAGAGGTGTCTCCGCGTAACTGACATCCAGTGGAGGTCACCGTCAGCGGCAGCAGGAAGCTGTGCATTGAGCGACAGATTGAAAGGGGGGAGGGCCAAAATAGCGAATTATAAATAGACAAAAATTCGTTTTAATTGAAAAAGGCAAATCAATAAAGTTTTATAGGGAAAATTCTCAATAATTGAATAGAGCGTATCATGATTGATTGCTGCACTTGCCACCTGCCTAAGCTGGCGCCAGATATCTTTCAAAATATTCAGCGAATGCGTACCAGGAAACCAAATTCAAATTCAGCCAAAGCAAATTCCTATCAGTGTGAATATTTTCTCCTGGGGGTGGTTGGGAGGAGAGGAGTGAAGCCTTTGCGATTATGAAATATATAGCATCGATTAGATACGAGACATATACAATTAGTGGGGGCCCAAGACGGTTTTTGTTTGGACTCCCCTTGGCTGGAATGTCGACAAGGGGCATTATGACCACAATTACACATTTATTTAGTATTTATCATGCTATCTATCTTTATTATCTATCCGTTTTGTATCGCGGTGGTTGCGGCGGTCTCTGCCTTATCTCTGGCCTTTGTTTATGGACAACTTGCGCCAGCAGGTGCCATAAGACGGTGCTTCGATAACAGTGGGGGCTTCCTGGAAATGTGGCGGGAGAGTTGCCAATACTTGTAGAAATTTAATCGATGTGGAATGTTTGGGTCAAGAGAAAATACGAAAATATTCCACGCCAGTCGAGAGCCACCAGCCACGAGCCAGCCACGAGAAACCTTCGTAAATCACTTAAGTAATAAATATTTATTCAGCTTCGAGAGCACAATAACTTAGATTAAACAAAATCTGTCAAGGGCTAACTCATTAACACAAAACAAATAATAATTATAATAGTAAACTTGATTAAATCGATTTGCTCATAAATCTTGCGCCTCTCTTCATTTTTTTGTTGTTTTTGTAGTGGTGAGTTTTTATTTATTTTCTTGTAATGCATTATCGTACTGGAAACTATGCAGCAGTGCAGCCAGCAGCCAGCAGCCAGTCACCGCTGGCAGTGCGGTCGACGTCGCTGCCAAGAGATTGTCGCAGCTGATTGGGGCAAGCTCCACGTTGGCGGTCTGCCCACTTCAAAAGCGGCAACGGTCAGCGACAGAGGCAGCAGCAGCAGCAATTGCGGTAGCTGCGGCAGCAGCAGCGACTGCGACGTGACTGCAGCATTGTTTACAAAAAAAAAAAAAAACAAGTTGAAGAAGGGGTACGGGTCCGGGTACGGGAGCGGGTGGTGTTGGTGGTGGTGTCGGACTTCCAGTAGCCACCGCCAAGATATAAAGCGGCTTGATCTTACTCTTAACGGCCGAGTCGAGCCGGCGACCATGGGACAGAGCGTAGATAAACGAAAGTGCTTCCGAAATGCTCAGATAACTTTAAAAGCGATTCGATATTCGGGTTTTCTCTCTGGCATACAGTGCCCAACGAATCTGGGATTGTCCCACTGTGCAGTCGCGTCCCATCAGTACCCAGTATATCCCATTGAACAGTAAATAAAGGCAGGCAGGTGTTTAGATATTTTTAAGCGATTTGACACTTGGAGTTCAGGTACACACGATCGATCGATCAAACGATTTGCCACTGTGCAGCTGGTGGGTTGCCAAACCCACTCATAGCTGCCGCCCAGAGCGCGGAACAAGGAACAGGAATAGACGATCAATAGATCAAAGTTACGGGTGCATCACTACCTTAGTTCTCTATGTCTGCGTGTTCCACTGTGCGGCCGCTGCCGGACCAAATTGATGCATTGCTCGTTGCACAATTTGTCGCCTCGGATTTCGTAAATCGCCCAGACGGGTGCGGTGTGCTGGGTGCGGGGGCAGGTGGCCATATCAGGTAAAGAGTGCGCCGCGCGCTTATCACATATTTTCTGTTTACTTCGATTTCTAAATGGAAAAATAGTCGAAATAGCAGCCGGCAGTACCCAATGCGAGACGATAAGCCTAATCACATCGGCTCGCCAGATTTCTAGCTCTCTAGCTCTCTCTATCTCTCTCTCTGTGGATTGTCAGGCTTCGGTACGTCGGCTTAGACGACATTTGACAAGTCGAGTGCAGAAGGTGACGGTGTTGTTGATGTCCGCGATGTGTGCGGCTTATAGACATCATCATCGTCATCGGTATCGGAATTGGAATTGGAATTTGAATTGTGTATATCGTCCAGCGGTGTGGTGGTTGTCATCGTGGCAGAGGCAGCCGCTGCCAGAAAGTGCACCTTGGTGGATGTGTTTGGATTATTATTCTCGGCCATCAGCTGATGGAGGTGATGGTGGTGACAGCCGCTGCTGTAGCCGAGGGCGGTCGGACAGGGCACTCCGGTGCGGGGCCGCTGGGGCCGCAGCATATCGCCCACATAGATGGCGGTGATCGCGGCATAGACAACGCCCAGCACGGCGCCGGCTAGAACGTCGGACCAGTGGTGCCAATAGTCGGCCACGCGGCTGAGCGAGACACACAGGGCGGCCATTAGCAGTAGGAACTGGACAATGTGTCGCAGCACCCGAATGCTGCCCCGTCCCTGCCACACACTGTGCACGTAGAAGGCCAGCAGACACATGGAGTAGAAGCTGAGACTGCTGTGGGCGCTGGGGAAGCTCACGTGCAGCTCGCGGATCTGGCGGCCCGAGATATTGAGATTGGAGCAGTAGAACTGCTCCACGTACAGGTCGGCGTTCTGGGGGTCCGAGCAGCTGGTGCCGTCGTTTAGGCGCGGCTGGCAGGCCTGGTAAAAGTGTGGCCTTAGACGTCCCACCACATGCTTGGCCAGCTCCGTGGTCAGGAAGGTGGCAATGAAGCCAAAGCTGAATGTGGCCTGCGACCGCCACAGGTTGCGCAGGTACAGGCGCATGCGGAAGCGCTTGCAGATGCGCATTATCTCCACCACGCTGATGAGGAGCATCGGCAGGAGCAGCTTCATCAGCAGCAGCATCGGCACTGTGATGGTGCACTCGTGGTAGGGATACCGAATGCTCAGATCCGAGCAGAAGAAGCCTCGCTTAAACGTTCGCATTGTCAATAATGCACTTTCGGAGTAAATTCGGAAAAGCTTAACTTCACTTGAATTCATTTATTTTGGTTGGTTTATTTTTAATTTTTATTTTCAGCTTAGAAGCGTTCTTATCGCCTGAGCTCAAGCTGATCTAGTATTTATTATTTGGGGCAGCCAATTTGTTTCTGTTTCGGAGTAGATTAATCAATTTTTTGCACTCGTTCATTCACTTTTGGATTTATTTTCGGCTGTCACACAAATGGCGCATTTATTTATTCCCGAACATTTATCAAGGCGAATGTTACTTTCGAAAAACCTGCGCACGATTTTCCCAGAGTCGAGTTCATAGACAATTTTCTTCTCCGACAGCCTCGCTCTTCTGATTTCGCGCGCGCGAAATTTTCGGAGTAGCGGAATTAAATAAATTAACGTTATGGCCCAGACCAGCTGTCCGTCAGTTTAGACACGAGCGTTTGGCTGTCAGTCACTCGCGTTGTAGTCTCTCCCAGTCGTTCTCCTAGTCTCCTCCTCGCTGGCAACCCATGAACCAGGCAGCGATCCAACCAACGAACGAACCGCTTTGGCCGCACGCTGCTCGAAGTCTATGAAGCGCTCTGGAGCGACGCTGTCGTTTTGTTTGGATCGGCGACGAATGTGACTCCGCTCGCTGAGACTGGGGACTGTGACGCTGCGCTGCCGCCGAGCTGCCGGTAGCGACTGCCGGTCGTACCGTCGATTTTTTTGAACAAGCAAGCTCTTGTCTCTGTCACGGTACACACGGTCTACGGTCTACGGTCAAATGGTATACGGTCTTCGAGCTGAAGAACCCACCACGCCGTCGAAGGTTCCCGCCGCTGCTCTGGCTACATTTCGCATTGATATTGAATTTCAATGGGACTTGTATTCCTTATCAATTCAGCAACGTCGGGGAGACTGTCTTTCGAGTGAGTGCTCTCGTATTTCTTCGCTCCGACCACACTAGCTGCGACACCCCCTCCGACCACTTTCTGATGCTGCTGTTGCTGTTGCTGCTGCTGTTGCTGCTGCTGGCGGGGCAGGCAACAAAGTTTACTAATGAGGAAACTATTGAATTGTTTCAAGGTTTACTCTGCTCAGTTTGTTTAGGTTTGTTTGTCTGGGACTTGGCATTTGCGCATAATGAAAGAGTTGCAGTTGCATTCGCTCGAAATGCGGATGGGATGCCAATGGGAGTGTAAGAGTGGAGGAGTGGCTGTGGCTGGGACTGTGGCTGGGGCTGTGCCTGGTCCGTCTCCTTCGACCATTCGAGTGGGTCATTGCAACGTGACTTAAGTCGGTTGCCACTTGCTGGGCCCTGCTCTCCGTTCGGTACGCTGCGTGCCTTTGTGGCATTTTGTTGATGTAGGTCGTTGCTCGGGCCCAGGCCCAGGCCCCCAATGTGTAAGGCTCGGCTCCCACACTGAATCCGACTGCGACTGCAACTCCAACTACGACTCGGAGGCTGTGCGGTAATGGAGACGACGGCAAACACAAGCCCGAATGGTGAAGTGCATAAACTGTAGCCAGTTTATGGCCACTTTGTATTTACACTACGAATCGAGCTTCTTTATGGCAATTTTCAACTGCTCAATTTACAGGGGAATTGCATTGCTTGCGACTATTTCTGTTAATTTATGCTAATTTCGGAGTCGCCATGAAAGGAAATTACTCGAAATCGGAGGGACAATGGTGCCCCGCGGGCATACTGACAAATGTGCAAGCGGAACAAGAGAACACAGAGCCGTCGTGTTTACAGTTTGTTTTAAGGGATTTTCGGAGTAACTCCGAATTACTCCGAAAGTGTATTTAAGTCTATTAGTGCGTTCTAAGGGATTTTCGGAATTACTCCGAAATTACTCCGAAAGTGTGTTTAATTCAATTTCTTGATTTGTTCTATGGAATTTTTGGAGTTACTCCGAAAGTGCTTTTAAGCCCGTTTAAGGAATCAGCCTAGTTTTATTGGAATTTCGGATAAAAAACTATTCCGAAAAATGTGCAAGATATTTAAGGTATATCCGAAACTACACTGATTTGATTCCGAAACTAGAACGAATACCTTGCCTTGGCCTAATTGTGAAATAGTAGTTCGGATCCAAAACCGCTAACCCAGAAACACTGTAAGCCGATCCGCGCACAGCAACGGTACTGGTGGATACGCCCCCCACCCCTTGTATCTGTATCTACGCCGTAGCCGTATCAATGAACAACCGCAGCACGCGCCAAAAAAACGAGTATTCATGATCATCATGAACGAACAACAAAAACCACAACGCTAAGGAGGCCCCGAGAGATCGAGGGGTTTCTGGTTTTATATGGCAGTGGGGGGAGCTTCTTTAGTGACACCTTCGCTTGAACAGACACTAAATCAAAATTTATTATTGACATAATTTGTTAAATACGCAGATGCAGTGAATATCATTCACGTGTTGCACAAGCCCCACTATGCACACACTCTGTCAGTCAGTCGCAGTCCCTGTTTGCGGCCCCTCCCTGTCTGTGTGTCTGGCGCGGTAAACAACCAGATCTGAGTCGGCAGTTTTGAACGCAGTTCGAGTGACATGAAACTGAGGAGAACTTCCTGTGCAGTCGAAACGAAATCGGTGCAACAAGTGGTGCAGAAACTGCTGCTGGCTTGTTCTTGGCACTTTTTTTTTACTGGCGGGGCTACTGCTACTGTCGCTGACTGATAAGCGGAAGGTGTACGAATTTATTAGGCGAGGTGTGAGCGAGTGTGCAATCACGCTCCCGAGCTGTGACGCAGTGCGCGAATGAGCAACGGAACTACTGATAACGATCCCCCCCCCCACCCAGTGCTGGAGTGAAGTTTTGCAAGTGTCGTCTGTCGTCTGTCGCCCCGAGCCCTGCATTGTGACACTTGGCATTGGCATTCCGCGATTACCATCGCAGGGGAAATCTGTTAGCGCAATCTGCAATTGCAAGACAGTGGCGGCTGGAGATGTTGGATGACAGTCAGGTGTATGGATCGCATGGAATCAACACTTTGGTCAGGAAGCATAAACAAGGGAATGCTAATAACCATAACTGACAGTTATCGATTCGCTGAGGGCAAAACAAATGTGTGGTAGCAATAACTTACGGAATATCTCAAGGTCTGCGAACCTATCCCAACCTGTAAATCCATCGCCGATCGGTAAATTAAACAAAGATCGATCTGAATTGATTTTAATTATATGCACGTGCAATGCACCCAAAGTGCGGGAACCCCAATTAATTAACTGTTCCTCGGAATTGAAAGAATGTTCAGCAAGTCAATAGTCCACAGAAATTAGTCAATTAAGCAGGGTATCTATTGAGGTTGACAGATTGCAGTTGCACTGACGTAACTGATTTCTGATTTATTTCGTATTTATAGAGCTAGCAAAACCAAAGCTCAGATAGGGGAGTTTTCTTTCTAAAGGCTAATCTGAAACTATGAGCAACCCCATACAAATCTCCATTGAATTTCCATAATAATGACTAAATGATCGCGTAAATAGTACTTACCAAAAAATCGTAGAAATAAACACATAATTATTGCCAAAATGGGACGTTAATTTTAAAAGCCAATTACAGCCCGCTCCAGCCTCCTCTGTTGGCCGTTTCAATTAGCAAAGTCATCAAATTAAACAGCGGCAAGAATCTCCAGGCAAAACCAGTTTTTTTTTCTGAGCCGTCCAACGATCAAGATCGATCCCCACGTACAGAGCTTAAAGCTCGCGCAGGCGTCACGAGCCGTGGAGACCGAAGAATGTACAACTGACAGGCGACGTCACAGAGCTGCAGCTGTGTGCCCTGCACAACAGGTGAGGGAATCGCCTGCATTCCGATCTGTTCGGTTCAATCGATGGCTTTGCGTGAATCATCCATTGACACCAACGAAAATGCCCGGTTCGAGCAGCGAAAGAGAAAACCCCCCGACGCTGGATATCGATGTATCAGCGCGGCCACAATTAGCCAGCGGCAAACCGAATTAACACACTTGAGTAATCAACTACGTTGGGTCCAGTGCGGTACGGTACGGTTCGGTTCGGTTCGGTTTAGTTTTCGTTTGTTTTTGTTTTCTTGGCTCGGTTCCACTGGTTGCCCCCACTAGGAAATTATGCACACGCATCCCAAAAATTGCAGCGCAGCAGATGCAGCAGCGAAAGGCGAGAACCAAAGACTCGCTCGCTCGCTCGCTCCCTCGCTCTCTACGCCGCTTGCAAGTAAACCAGTTTGCAACTCCTTTCTCTCTCTCTCTCTCACTAAATGGGTGCTGCTTATCTTTGCTAAATATTTTCTCTTGGTTTGTGAGCAATAAGTGAAACCAGTTTCTCATGCAAGTACAATGGGGTCTGCGCTTCATTGATGAGCAGTCGGGATGGGTATGGGGGGGGGAGAAGGTGCTTATTTTGATAGTTTTCGGGAATTCGAGAGTAATTTGGCGCAGATAATAGAAGAAATATGAGCCAGGCATTCCACTGAGAGAAACATTAGAACAACTCAGAACAGCTTCAATGGATTTCGTCTTTCAATTAGCCGCGAAATACTCGTAGTCAAAAGGTTTTTCTCGACTGCAAATGAAAATGGCTGTGGGCATAAAAACAAATTTCGTTTGTAATTAATGAAAAAAAGCAAATAAACAACAAATGTTTATGGCATGGCGGTGGAATGGATGGGAGGCTTTGGCGTTGCCAAAGCAACCCACAAAACAATACCAACAATAACCGATGGAGATTGGGGATTGGGGAACCGGCGGGCGGTGGCACGCACCCACTTGTGACTGACGGACCGCAGAGAACCGAACCGAAGCACTGCCAGCTGCTGAGAACAGCTGCTGAGAGGCAGACGCGCAGGCAGAAACCACCGCGTGAGTGAGAGCCACCGAAATCACGGCCAAGTTGGAGAACTCGAATCGCGACTCGCAGCAGCAGAGGCAGAAGCAGGCAAGATATTCCATGCCTCGTCGTCGCTCGGTTAGTTAAGCGCGGTTTGTCAGTCAGTAGAGTCGAGTCGAGTCGAGTCGATACCGTCACCGTCATCGTTATTGTTGCTGCTGCCTGTCGTCGGTTGTACCCACAGTCATGTCCAAGTACACGAAACTGGGCCGCGGGATCTGCGATCTGCTGATCTGGGCCGCGCTCAGTGTGGGCAGCCTGCTGCTGCACAAGTGGGGAAAGCCTTTCAAGCGCGGCTTCTTCTGCGGCGATGAGTCACTGGCCTATCCCTACCGCGCCAGCAGCGTCGACCATCAGCTGGTGCTGGCCATTGCCTTCGGCGTGCCCACCTCCGTCATTGTGGTGGTGGAGCTGTTCAAGCAGCTTCCGGGTGGCGGCCTGCGCGAGACCACGGGCAAGCGGGATGGCTGCCGCCTTGGGCATCGCCTCGGGCAGCTCTACAAGCAGGTCATCTTCTATCTGTTCGGCCTGGCCATGGTCGCGTTCACCACGATGCTCTCCAAGGTGTGCATTGGCCGTCTGCGGCCGCACTTCTACGCCGTGTGCCAGCCGATGCTGTCGGACGGTAGCACCTGCCAGGACACACAGAACCAGGGACGCTACATCGACAGCTACACCTGCAGCAACGCCAACATGACGGACTTTAACTTCCGGCAGCTGAACCAGTCCTTCCCCAGCGGCCACGCCAGCCTCATCATGTACGCGATGCTCTACCTGGCTATCTACCTGCAGGCGGCGCTGAGCACGCGCGTCTCCAAGCTGCTGAAGCACCTGCTCCAGTTCCTGTTCGTCATGTTCGGGTGGTACGTCTCGCTGACGCGCATCACCGACTATCACCACCACTGGAGTGACGTGCTGGCGGGCGCCTTTATGGGCGTCCTGATCGCCTGCCTCACGGCCGTCTATGTGGCCGATCTGTTCGCCTTCAAGCGCTGGCCCAAAAACGGCTACTCGGCGAACACTCTGCGCAAGCCACAGGTCTCGCCCAAGAGCTCCACCAAGTCGCAGGCAGCCGCTGCCCCGGCCACAGCCGCCGCCAATGGTGGACAGCCGCCTGCTCTGCCAGCCTACACCTTCGGCACGCTGCCCTACCTGGCAGCGCATCCGGCGGCCCAGGCGCAATACGCCCAAACCTATCACAACTACGGATATGTGCCCTGAGCCAAGGCCGCTGATCGGAGAGATCGAATGGAGCGAATAGATCGAATAGGAACGGGAGGCAGATGGGCGCTGGCTTCAACTTAGAGAACCTCACACACACACACACACACACACATACAATTAAATACACACATACATCACACAAAGACTTGCACACGATATTCCTGTTTTGTTGTTGTCTTTACTCTAGCGAAATAAATATTATAAATTTAAGTATCGATCGCATCACGAAGATTTCTTCTGCTTCAGCGGGTGGGGGAGGGGGGAGTAGAAAGTGTCGAAAATCGATTGATCCAAGAATTTGGCAATTAATATTTGAAAGTTGACAAACCTTTAAACTCCCCAATGGCAGATGATTGGCTTGACTAGAAATCGTTTGAGTTGGATTTTCGGCTTACCTGCAAAGAGAGAAAACAGAACAGACTTTGTGTTAGAAGATATTTTGTGGTGGTGGGGCTTGGGGTGATAAACATTCCAAAGCTGTTACAACAGAGTTATTATTGCAGGGGGAGAATATTCAATATTAAAATGGGTTTGCAAACATTTACAGTTACTTTTGCTTTTGTCCAGACTGAAGAGAACGAGTTCAGAGCACGCAAAAAAAAAAAAAGACACCTACCCAGAGACTAGGCCAAGACGCAGGCGAACCAGACAAATGGGTTCCAGCTGCGGCGACTTTAGAAATTAGGAATAAATTATTGGGAGACCTTAGCATATTTGAGCAATCGATAAACAGCAGCCAGCAGCCAGCAGCCAGAGTCAGAGCTACATCAGTGGGAAAAGCGAAACAAAAGGTTTTTGAAACAAGTTTTTTGTGGTGCCTCGAACTAACCGCCAACATCGTCGGACCGATCGGACCGATTGGACCGATGAAAATGCAAATGAGCGGTGGTCAGCGCTGAAAGAACTCGCAGCTTGAACCCATCCCAGCACGGTCCAAGCATCCAAGCATCCAACCGATCCATTCATCCGTTCTTCAGTGTGAAAATGTGCGGCAATCCGAATACGCGTCTGCTCTCGCGGCTCATCATCGATTTCCTCATCCTGCTGGGTGTCTATGGTGCGGCACTGGTGGTCCTGCCCCAGCAGCTGGCCACAGCACAGCGGGGCTTCCACTGCAGCGACCCCAGCCTCCGCTACCCGTATCGCCAGCCCTGGCTGACCAAGGTCCATCTGACGATCGCCGTAGTGGCATTGCCCGCTGCCTTCGTGCTCGTCGTGGAGATGCTGCGAGCCGCCTTCGTGCCCAATGCGGCCGAGCTGAAGCAGCGATTCGTCTTCGTGGGCGCACGGATACCGAGCTTCATCAGCGAGTGCTACAAGATCATCGGGGTGTATCTGTTCGGCCTGGGGCTGACGCTGCTCGTCATACGGCTGACCAAGTACTCGACCGGACGTCTGCGTCCGTATTTCTTCGACGTGTGCCAGCCCACCTGGGGCGAGGAGGGTTCGCAGAGCTGCGCCGACCCGTCCTCTTTGCCCGAAAACTACACTTCACGCTACATCGAGGACTTTGGCTGCACAGAGTTTGCCGCTTCGCAGGATCTGCTCGCGCTGGTGCGCCACTCCTTTCCCAGTGGCTTTGTGACCTCCACCTGCTATGCCATGGCATTCCTGGTCTTCTATGCCCAGGCCAGGCTCTTCGCTTCCTGGCTGAGACTGCTCCGCTCCACGCTCCAGCTGGCCTGTGCATCGGCGGCTCTCGTCGTGTGCTGGGAGCGCATCTCCACGTTTCAGAATCATCTGTCGGATGTGGCGGCGGGTGCCGCCTTCGGTGGCCTGCTGGCCTTCTACGTGACTGTGTTTGTGGCCCACCTGTTCGAGGAGGTGCGCGTGAAGCGACGACAGTGGCCCAGGAACGAGCAGATCTACGGCTATGCGGGCTACTACAATCGAGCCACTTATGGATATTGATGGAACAATATAAATATATGGGAATAAAACCAAATTAATTTATTGGCATAATTTTTTTTGGATTTTTTAACTGCTGCATAGAGTAAAGCTTTTCGCAGAGGTGCCGTCAGTCAAGTTCCGAACCACAGCTTGCGATCCACACAACAAGTGGTTGCGATCGCCGTCCACTGATAAGCGGCAGCTGACCACAGTCCACACACACACACACACACACGCTCGCTCTCTCACTCTTTCGATGGCGCAGCTGCCCCTACACAGGGTACTCGGAGAGTACAGGGGTATACTGAACTCGTGCAAGAGCATGTAAAGGCCAGAGACGGAAGTGTTTCCCCATCCCTAATAATGTATGCCAATTCTGGATCCAGCCTGCACAGCCGATATAGTCGTCGGACATAGTCCCTTGATAGAGGGACCGACCCCTTCCGCTCTTCTCTTCAGAAAGAATCCTAATTGTGCTGATCAAATTTAATTTTTTGTTTATATTAATTTACTTTAACCAAAGACAATATAAGTATAAGATACATAACGCCATACGAAATTTTTGCACACGAATTTTGCATGCTGGCTCTAGAGCTGGCTCCAGGATTATATTGTCTTTGCTTTAACCGTGTTGATAAGTTGAAAGAAACTATCATATTTATCAACTAATTATAAGAAAAGGGGTATCGATCAGATACGACAAGACTAATTACAGTTTTATTTTTGGAGAGCTTTTTACATAGAGTTACAAAAATCCACCTGAATACCGGGGTACGTTTGTGTCGAGTCACGTGTGCCTTAACTCAAACCGTCCGACTGTTTATTACTATTGCCCTCTGTCTCTCGCGCTGTCTGGCCATTCATCTCTTTCGTTCGTTAATGATCGGCAGCAGAAGAAAAACTCCATGGATTTGTTTACAAAGTCAACAGCGACCGATCAGCGAGCCGTGGCATTTGTTTTCGTGCTGCTCAGTCGCGATCGGGAAGCGGCGCTTAAAAGTTTACAGATCGGATTCGGGCAGTGCAGTCCGTCCGGCACGGTAGTCGCCAAGTTAACAAACGATCGTATAAGTTGTACAACTTTTGTTTACGTTTGGATGTACGTGACACTCACATGGAATGCATAAATAAACGTGAAGATATAAACACAAGCCCATAAGGCGATCGCAAAAAGGTTCAATAAACAAAGTGAGTGAGGGAGGGAGCTGTACGATTAATTGGGTTAGCCAGTTGGCCCACCCACTGGCATGGGTTGGAATAATTTGCATTTAAACTCGATTTCGTGCTAGGTTCAAAGTGCAGTTGGAAAATGCCAGCAGATAGCAGACAGCAGACAGCAGACAGCAGAATAAAATACAAATGCTAAAATAAACAGGGGGCACAGTAAGCGCCAGGGAGAGTCCAGTTTCCATGGGCGAGTGGCATCACATTTTCCAGCATAAAGTTCACAGCTACGAGAGCACAGTACAGTACAGAGTGAAGCACTCACAGAGTCGGGCCGGGCCGGGCTGGGCCGCCTTAATTCAATCAAATGTCGCTTATTCATTCAATTAAAGGTCGCGCCATTTGACGTCCCACTATGAATGCGTCTGTGAATACGAATGCGAGCAGCCCGCTTTGAATGTTTTCCATTTTTTAATATAATTGACAGTTAAACTTTGTGCACATGTTCAGCAGCAGCGAAACTCCCACTCCGCTGCTTAGTGTCACACAGATCAGACGCAAGGAAGCAGAGACAACTATGGGGACAGATACAATGGAGGGCATTCTTGGGCCCAGAGATTAGTGGCGCTGCTGCAGTCAGTCGGCATCTGGAAGTGCGTGCACTGACGCGCCTATTTGATGCATCATTGCCCTAGAACAATAGGTAACCACTCTGTGAGTGAGCCAACTAGTGAGTCACTGGCCGGCTTGTTGACCCAGGGAGCGCCTGCGAGTACGTACTGCTTCCTTATCGCAAGAGCTATATATATTCCTTCTGGCATAAACATATATGCGCAGATTCTCCGCAGATCTTTCGGGGCAACAAAAATTGCTGAATTACAGTGATTTGGCACTAAAGAAGGACCGGCACGGCCCGGCAAAAGCTTTTGCTGCGGCGGCTATCTAGAACACTTTAATTTATCTTATCAAAATGATCTTGAGCGTGTTTGAGCAAGTTAGACAGCGCTGCACTGAACGAAAAAGGGGGTGAAGCATTTCTGGGTAATGCGGTTCAATGATCATATCTTTGGTTCAGGTTTCACCTTTGCTTATTTCTGTTAATGAGAATTTATTATTATTTTTGTAACTGGAGAATCTTTTGACCGTTTCTATTCTGATTTTTGTTGCAGTGTCCAGTGCATACGAACGCTTGTCTAATCTGGAGGGAGCCGCAACAACACTGAGCTTACGGCGACTTCGGCTAATAACAATAAAATAGGCAATAAACAAATTGCTTTGCCGCAAAAGATATACACAGAAAAAGAGCGCGCGAGAGAGAGCTAAAACAATATCGGCAGAGAGAGAGCGAGGCAGTGACAGAGGGGGGCCCACATCAAATGAGAGTTAAATTAAAAGAACGTTGCCCAAACGACGCCGGATCAGTCAGCCACTGACAACGAACCCGAAACGAACGAACCATCAACCGAGACATACGCGACGGGTATACAACAACAAAACAACAAAACAAAAAACGATCCCAAAAGATAATTACAAAGCAGCATAAAAAAAAAACAATTCGGAATATTAACTAATTAAAGCCAACCACAAAATGCGCAACGGCAACGCGAATGAGGATCAATCTGTATCCGTCTCCGTCTCTGCGACTGCGTCTGCAACTGCAACTGCATCTGCCGCGCCAAGCACACCATGCCAGAGCCAGAGGCAGGCAGAGGACCGACAATTGATCCGGCGACTGCTCATGGAGCTGCTGGTAATGGTGGTGCTGGTCATACCCATTTGTGTCTACGAGTTCGCGGTGGATCCGGTGCGGCGAGGCTTCTTCTGCGACGATGAGAGCATCAGCTATCCCTTCAAGGACAACACGATCACGCCGGTGATGCTGGGTGTGATCAGCGGCCTGCTGCCGCTGCTGGTACTGCTGCTCGTGGAGTATGTGCGGCACATGCGCAGCGGCGAGCTTGCCACCACTGTCCACCTGCTGGGCTGGCGAATGTCCACCTGGTACGTGGAGCTGTTCCGGCAGGCCACCTACTTCGGCTTCGGCCTGCTGCTCATCTTCGACGCCACCGAGGTGGGAAAGTACACCATCGGGCGCCTGCGGCCGCACTTTCTGGCCGTGTGCCAGCCCCAGCTGACGGACGGCACCCTCTGCTCTGATCCGGCCAATCTGCACCGCTACGTGGAGAACTACGAGTGCGTCGGCGAGGGCTACAGCGTCTTGGATGTGCGCCAGTCGCGGCTCAGCTTCCCCAGCGGCCATTCCAGCATTGTATTCTACTCGATGGTCTACGTGGCGCTCTACCTGCAGCGGAAGCTCACCTGGCGCAGCTCCAAGCTGACCCGCCACTTCCTGCAGTTCCTGTTCGTAATGCTGGCCTGGTACACGGCCCTCAGCCGTGTCATGGACTACTGGCACCACTGGTCTGACGTACTCACCGGCTCTCTGATCGGCGTGGCCGGCGCCCTGATCACGGCCCGCTACATAGCGAGGTTCTTCGACTCGCCCTACGAGAGTGTCTCGGGCATCCTCAGCAGTGGTCTGCGCAGACAGAACACCTCGGCCACGCTCCAAGAGGAGGTGTGTCCCACCACGCCGCCACCCTACTCGGCGAATAATAGCTACAACGAGGATCAGTACTGCTCGAAGGTCTGAGGAGCAGCGATCCATCCATGTATAGAACACATTCCAAAGCCAAGAACAGGCCGTCATAAAATAAAGTATCAATGAGATGAGCTGAGTTGAGCTACGAGTAGAGTTGAATCTGTAGTATCTACACCTTCATTATATGTAGAATCATATTGTTAGATCTTCACCCCTGCATCTGTATAGTTCCCATCCCCTTTGACAAATTAAAGCCCATCCGTCTGTCTAAGTTCTCGTATTATTTTTGTGTATTAATTCGATAAATAAATAAGTAATCCAAAGAATTTCGAGACATGTTTTCATTGTCGCTGTCGCTGTCGCTGTTTTGTTGTGTTGTTTTGTTGTGTGTTCACCTGTTACCCCTCTTGCCACCCGACTGCTCAGTAACCGTTCCATTGTTTAATTGGTCGCTTATCTACATTTATGTATGTGTTGTTTTTGTTTCAAGCTTTGTTCTACATGAAATTTCACATTTCAATGTCAGCTTCACCCACATTCCTTTACACATATCGAAAGTGTTCGATTGACACCATTTTTCGCACAGTGTTGTTTTTTTTTTTTCGGTTGGGTTCACACTTGGCTGCATGTGTGGTAGGGGAATGTGTGTTGGCCCCATGACGCATCAACATTTCGTTTCGACTGTGGTAGATAGAGTGTTGAGGCAAAGGTATTGTGCTGCGTCAGAGGCACGCAGCCGCAAGAGGCTCCAATGCCTTTTTGGATGATCGTGAGAGCGCAGCCGTTGAGATTTTTTCCCGTACACTGGCGCTACACTGTACACTACAGTGTACAGCCAAAAGAGTGTGTGAATCAGACGATGCTAATCTGATTTGAATGGACCTCTGACCCAGCAATGAATAATTTTCAAAGAGAGTCGCAGAGTCTAAGAGAATGATGCGAGAGCTTTTTGTGAGCTTTTTTTGGGGGCTGGCTGCGCTGGCTGAGCTTCTATCGATCGATCCGGCATACGTCAGCGCACAGTCGGAATTGACTCGCGTGTTATTTTGATGGCAATTCCCAGGGCCAGACGGTGCGCCAGCACGTGCCTTGGCAACAGAACAGGCAGCACTGGCATCACAGGCATCACAGGCAGCTGCTGCTTATCTGCAACGACAGCGACAGAGCTCCGTTCCGGAGAGTTCAGATCAGTGCGTTTACACTGATGCAGACGCGCGGAAATTATTCACCAAGTCACCTAGCGCCCGACGGCTTAGGCTTTCGGGCAGTCTATAAATACAACAACGGGGCGGCAATAACAAGGCGAATTGTTTATTAATAATACGAATCAAGCGCCTCCGAATCGGGGGCTCTGATTGCTGGGGGCGCTTGCTTGGGCGGGCTATTCTATCACTCAAATGTTACGATCCGATCCAGGCCGCAGCTCAGTGAGGCGTAGAACTTCGAACCGGCCGGACGCAATGAGCTTCAGTTTGCGACTTCGATCTCCGGTCCGTCTGCTGGTGGACCTGGCCCTGCTGGTGCTGCTCCTGATCCTTTCGTGGCACTTCAAGCGCTTCTGGTGGCCCACCACACAGCGCGGCTTCTTCTGCAACGATGAGTCCCTGATGTATCCGTATCGCGAGAGCACCGTCAGCCCCCAGCTGCTGCACTGGCTGGGCGTGCACTTGCCACTGCTGTTCCTGGTCCTGCTGGAGGGCTTCCTGGCCTGGCGCCGTGGCGGAGTCTCCACTTGGCGTCACCTCTGGCCACTGTGGAACACCGTTCGCTGGTTCCTCTACGGACATGTCTTCAACAGTCTCCTCAAGAGCATCGGAAAGGAGACCATCGGCAGACTGAGGCCGCATTTTTTCGCCGTCTGCCAACCCGTGCTGCCGGATGGAGGCAGCTGCTCGGATGTGGCGCATCGCGGTGGCCTGGTCTATCACGAGACGTACAGCTGCCGGCCGGAGCTATCGGCTGCCACCGAGGAGATGCTGACGAGCTTGCATGTGTCCTTCCCCAGCGGCCATTCGGCCATGGCCTTCTACGGCCTGGTGTTCCTAGCCCTACACTTGCGTCACCGCCGCTGGCCCTTGAGGGGCAGTCTTCTGGGGCCCATTCTCCAGCTGGGTTGCCTCTGTGTGGCCTGGTTCGTGGCCATCAGCCGTGTCATGGACTACAAACACCATTGGTCGGATGTTGTGGCCGGTTCGCTGCTGGGTGCCGTCGCTGCCTTTGTGGTCGTCCAGGCGGCCAAGTTCGAGGAGGCGGCACACAGCCACAGCCACAGCATCACCAAAGTGGCGGCAACAAATGCGAATGGAAATGAGAAGGAGGGCCTGGGACTGGGACTGGGACTGGCAGTGGCAGTGGCAGATGAAGCAGGAAGGAGCCCGCAGCTGGCGCATGATTTGTGCCTGGTTACGTGTCAGAGCTCTAATTAGTTGTGGTTTGGGGTTTAAGCTATGCGATTTCTAGTTGTTAAGTCAAATGTCGACAGTTGGCAGTAAAGCTAAAATTTATTTAAAAGAAAAAAGGTTTTCGTTTTGCCCCTTACATAAGTTGGGAATGCCGTAGCAGCAGCAGCAGCAGCTCATTAGGCACCACTCTCAATGCATCAAATCTGTAACCCAAGTCGGTGGAAACTGGAAACATCGAGATCGATCAAACGCTTGATCGAGTGGAAAACTGTTGATTAGAGCGGCCCCCAGCCTTCAGATCAAATGAGGTTCAACGTTGCACAACCATTCGAATTTTTGCATTGGATCTTGCGGTTGAGTCTTCAATAGCAAACCAATTTCCACTGCTCTCCCCAAACCACAGACTTTAACTCTCTTCACGGCTGCTCATAATATAGAAAATTCTGTGCAAATATTTAACTGGAAGGAGTGGCGTTTGTCAACGCAGTTGCCAAAACACTGGGCCATGCCGCCATGAAGACAAATCTGGTAATTAGCATTTATAAAGCTGTTTTCGGTCTTTTGCGCTGGGAACTTTTTTGTTGTCTTTGCTGTTGTTGCCTTAGCACAGAAATAAATTTCAAATGAAAACAACAGGTGCACCCAGAGAAAAAATCACCGAAATTTCTATTTTAAAATTTTTAATTGCTTCAAAAAGTAATTTTTAAATATGAAATTTTAATTTAATTTTAATATATATATATCATAATTTCAAAGTAAATATATATAATAAATAAATATTTTAAAATGAAGTCATAACAATATAATCTATAAATATCCAATATATTAAGTTACAAATTCAAGTTAATATGATTTATTTATTTTAAAAATTAATTTTTAAATGTTTTATATTTATTTTCAATGTAATTTATTCAATTCTATTGTATTTAAAAACCGAATATTCAATTAAAATATGTAACTTTCTCTGAGTGCAAAAGTAGCTAGTGACGAACTGTTTTCTAGCAGGGCAATGTGCCCTCCCCGTAGCCACGGTTATCATTTACAAATATTTCTATAGTTTCAGTCTCGTCTGGATGCTTTGCCCCGCATTGATTTCCATTGGCAGGGGCAGATAATTTCGCGAAACGAACCGTAAGACCCCCGAAACAGAAGCAGAGACAGTAGAGCGGCGGTGATGGTGTCGTCGTCGTCGCTGACAACGGGCCAACAATTAGCGGCTCTTTTAGTTTCATTAGCAGCAAATTTTCAAACGACTTAACCTCAGTCAACAAGGCGGCCGCAGACTCTGAATCCCCTCCCCCTCTGCCCAAAAGCCCACAGGAAAAAAAAAGAAGATATAAATAAATTTCCACAGTCTTGGCATAAATTGGCGAAAAGGACCGAACCATTTCCAACTCTCTGGCTGATGATGATGCGCAACACCTGGACCCGGTTCTGATACTGGTACTGGGCATGGGCATGGGCCTGGGGATTTGTGCGGTACTTGGCACCCTCATCAGGTGAGGATAGTGGATGGGTACAGAGGTGCGAGTAGCATCGGCCGCCGCTTAATTGGCTCATTTATTTTGATGGCAAAGAAAATGTTAGAAAATTGTGGTTCCTTTTTTTTTTTCTTTGCTTCCTTCTCCACTTAATTCGCTCTCCTTATCCCAGATTTTCCCCCTGGTTTTATTATGATTAATTGTGGCTAACACACACACACACACACAGTCAGGGACGAGGAAACTGACCCAAAGCTCCACTTTCTTGCCAACTTTTGTTGTTTGTTGTTGTTGTTGTTTTCGCTGTTGTCTGGCTGCGAGATTCGAATGATAAATTTCTATGCAATTTATTTTAATCTGCTGCGACAGTCCCTGCCACACTAGCGCCCCTCGCTCCGCCCCCTCTCTCTCACTCTTCCCCATTCTACAACGCAGTTTCCATGCGTTAATTAAATGGGAAAATATTTGCATCGCATCCACCGAATGGGGCCGACCCGGGGGCCAGGGATAGGGTTGGCAAAAGTTTTTAGCTGCAATCCAACACAGTGACCCAAATCCGGCATTAGCGAAACTTTTGGTTCGCTCTGCTTTGTCCGGGCATAGACTTTTCCGAGCAACTGGGAATTGAAGTTATTTGCGGCCCGAGCGCAGTTCATTAAGACAGTGGAGACGCGACAAGAATTATGCAGAGTCCGGGAATATCTTTCGGTGCTGGGCTCTGCCTTTACGGCCATCAATCAGAGCTACCATTTAAAGGGCAATTTCAATCAGTTGAAGCTGCATCTCTGAGCAAACTTAAAAGCAGTTACCACGAACAGGATGGTGGATGGTCTGTGTGTATCTCTCTAATCACCGTCAGGTGTGATAATGCGGCCCGTCGGTGTCGGTTGCTGGTTGGGGTTGGGGTTGGGGGTTCAATCCGGGGTCCAGTCCGGGCAGTTTGTCACTCCACATTAAATCACCCTTCATGCAAACCGAAGAACCGACTCATCCAACTCCCATCAGGCATCAGCCATCAGGCATCAGGCATCCATCGCACAGGAGTGCAGACTACATCGTTCTCACATCGTCAGCTGCATTTTTGCATGGCTGTTTGCTCAACAAAATATCCCAAAGCATTTCGGGGATTTTCCACTCCTTTTACTGCACCTACTGCTCCTCCTGCTCCACCTGCTCATCCTGCTGCTGCTGCTGCTGCTGTTGGCGTTGTTGCAACATGCGCTTCATATTTCTGCGGTTGCTGTCCTTCTTCCACTGCTGGCCAGCTTTTCCACTTGCTATTTGCCATCAGCAGTCATCAGTGTCTCTGCTTCCACCGCTCTCTCTCTCTCCCACTCTCTCTGTCTCTTAACTCCTGCCCTGCCCTGGTCCTGTTCACACTGCTCCAATCGTTGGCTTCATGTGTGTGTAAAGACAATTTGATAATCGCAAAATGCAGCATAGTTTGAGTTAATGAAGCTTGTGTGCCTTGTGTGCCATGTGTGCCACCTTCGTAGAGTCACCCTCCGTGCTGCTGCTCCGTGGCGGAGCATTCCCAGTCAGCAGTCCAGAGACTCCTTCTCGTTGCTGTTGCCGTTGCCGTTGTCGTTGTTTGTTGGACAACAAGCAGAGCGTTTTGCTTGCCAATTAGTAATTTGCTTGCTGGCCATGGCTAGGGAACGGTTTACCAGTCCAGACCAGACCAGACCACACCAGACCGCACCAGTCCCTGACAACCTGAGGGAGTTTTAAATTGTCCAAGGTGGAGCCATGGCCATAGCCAGTGCCAGAGCCACCACAACCAGAGCCAGGACTGGCTCAAGTTCGTTTAATGGCTGGCCAATTGGCATTGCTTTAATCTGAAAGTTGTGGCAGTTTACGCTGCGGAATCACAGTTCTCCTTCCTTGTGCCCCTTGGATGCTCTAGCTCATTCGGGGCATTCTTTTTCCAGTTTGTTTAAATTAATGTGACACTTTACAATGCATCGTTAATGTTTTCCATTCGCCTGCTGTGAACTTATTTATTTCCTCGTTCCTCGTTCGTCGTTCATTGTGCAGTGTGCAGTGTGCCGCGTGCAGCAAGCAGCGTGCAACGTGCAACGTGCACCGTTCATCGACAGGCCAGACAGGCAAAAGTCCAAGTGACAATGTGACGGATGGAGCTCCCAAAAAGGGCGCCTGCAACGATGCCATTTGAATGAAAAGCAGCAGGACAGCAGCCAGGCAGCCGGGCAGCCGGGCAGCCGGACAGCCAGACAGCAAGAGATCTTGCAGCAACAATCGTGGAAAACAAACCCATTTTCCTCCGCCCATTTCCTTGGCACCTTCGGCGTTCGCCTTTGGTGCGGAATTCGCTTCCGTTTTCGATGTCCTGTCGTAGAAATCACACGCAGCCTCGACACGTGACAGCTAAGGGATGGGACTGGGACTGGGACAGGGACAGGGACAGGGGCACCAGCACTGGGACGGGGACGGGGACGACTGTGCGGCGGCCATTTTGCGTTTTGTCGCCGCCATCATTATTAATATGGCTGGCACAGGACCAGGGCCAGAACCAGGACCAGGACCAGCATCAGGACCAGAAACAGGACCACGACCACGACCAGGACGAGCGATGCTAACTTCCGTTGCGTGGCATTCGTGCTGTGATTTTTTCGCGACTCTGCCATGGCCGGCTTTCTTTTTTCGATGGCTCTGACAATTTTGATTGTTGGCCCCGGCTGAATGGAGGATGTCCTGGTCTGCTGCTGCTGCTGCTGCTGCTGCTCCTGCCACTGCAGTGGGTCCAGGATGGCAGTCGAAACAGGTGTGGCCGTCAACTGGCAATCAACTTTCATTTAGCAGCATCATTTGTCACGCTTGTTTATTGCCCGGTTACGTGTTGGCCACACTTAATGGCTGTTATTGTGCTCCCCGGTCCACCGACCGTTGGCATCTGACAGCGCAGGACACCAGGCAGGACAAGACAGGACAAGACAAGACAGGACAAGACAAGACAAGACAGAACGTATTGTATAGGTCCGTATTGATTTAAAATCACACACAGAGCACAGCAGACGCTTATGGAATTGTGTGTGTTTTTTCCTTGGCAATGCGCTACCATAAATTAGCAACTATTTCAATCATCGTGAATGCGTGCCACCTACAAAAGGAGGCACAGCTCATAACTAAAACATAGCCCCAATTATGCCACAAGCTCCGATGCTGATTCATTGATGAGGCACTCCCACTCCCACTCCCTCTCTCTCTCTCGCTTGCAGGAAAAACGAAATGAAAACGCAGCCATTGCTAATGCCGCGTTGATTATGAATATTTTAAGAGCAGACATTGCCACTGCCACTGCCACAGCAATGATCATCATCATCACGATGCTGGATTGGGTCTCGCGTACGCGGGCAATAAATTTATATGCCTCATAGAACCAACCCCCGTCCCCCGCCCGCCATCCAGCCATTCCGCCATTGCTTTGGGCATATGAAAATTTACATTTTGGCAATTTCCAGCTGTCGAAGCTCTGCGCTGCCGCCACTGCCTGCCCACCCATTAGTTCTGGCTGCAGTCGCC